ATAGTATTTTAAATGTATGAATTTATATATTGTTCAATATATTGTATTTTTTGCATTTATATTTATTTGGTAATCAACACAAGATAACAGATGTCTAATAAAAAATTTAACTACCATTCAAACTAATAGTTTGAAGAGTATATGTACAATTACACAAACTCGTAGTATTAATAACATTCAGACGATCAAAACAAACAGTTGTTTGAAATATTACAAAAACAGTAGTTCATATTTTTAAAATACAACGCGAAATAATGGTTGTCTGAAGCAAATTTCTTTAGTAATCTTTAGAGTAGCTGTCTCATAAACAATTCAACTACTGTCATAAAAGATAGTTTGAATACTTTAAGAAAAACTACAAAACACCGTTGTGTTAATAATCAATATACAACTAAAACAAACAGTAGTTTGAATAAGAATAATGTTAGTAGTCAATATTTTAGAAATACAACCAAAGATAACAGTTGTCTGATGGCATTTTTGTTTAGTGGTCTTTCGAGCAGCAGTCTGATATATCTTTCAATTACTTTTTAAAGTAGATGTCTATATTGTTGAAGGACAACACCAAGAATTAGAAGTCTAAAGTTAAAAACAACAGTAGTATTCATTATAGATAGACAACAAAAAATCACAGTTCTCTTTAACTTTAAAAATAGATGTCTTATTCATAAAAGGACAACACTAAAAAGTCGTACTCTAAAACATTACAAAACAGGTGTCGTCAACCATTTTACACAACTGTTTTTAAACAATAGTCTGTAGATATATCAGACAGCTGCTCGGAAGACTACTAAAATCAGCACCGTGAGACTACTAAAAGAAACAGTTGTCAGCATCTGTTTTTGACGTAGTGATGGCGCATACAACCGCTTCAAACACCGTGTGAAGCCACATCACAACCCCAATCTCTACTACCTCCAATTTATAGGTTTTACTTTATCTTGAAAATACTCTAATGGTTGAATTATGTGAATTTCTTTGCATATCTCTTGAAAATACTCTAAATTCTTCAATTATATGAATGAAAATATTCTAATTCTTCAATTATGAGGATTTATTTATTTAATTTTTTTTACCTAAATTTGATTTTTGAGGATTTATAACATGCATGTCTAAAATTTAGGTATGATATAAAGAAGCCATTTTGTTATTTCATTGGTCCTGTTTCTGTCATTATATTTATTTACTAGATGCTAATTTAGTTCCTCAATACGCATCATGCCTGCTGGTTCTTCATTTATTTGCTTGTCCGAACTAAGTTGATTTTGTTGCTGGACATGTGGTGTCATTGTTGTAACTATGATGTCAATTCAAATTAAATGGCCCTAAACTATGTAAGAAGTATGAACTTTGTCTCAGTGTTTGGTATCTGCTGGACGTTGCACCTTTAGTCTTAAATCAACCATCAAAGTTGTGATGTGTAATGGAGGGGTAGTCTGTTAGTGTTCATTGTATTGTTTATCATTGCCATTTGATTTAATGTAATTTGTCTTTGTAGGCGTATTTTGGTATAATTTGAAGGGATGCCCATAACGATGCAAGATGCTAAAGGTAAAGAATGGACATTTCAATTCAAGTTTTGGCCCAATAACAACAGCAAGATGTATGTTCTTGAGGTGTACACCCTGTATAGAGAATATGCAATTAGAGGCTGGTGATACAGGTATCCCCTGCTCTTTTTTTTCTTTTCGTTGTCTATCATATATAAACAACTTAGGTTGATAATTCTGATTCACATACAATGTTTGAAATGGCATTGCACAATATGACTGATCTGATTTTTAAATTAAATTTTGATTACTAGGTTATTATTTTGTTAGAAACAAATAGGTAAGCTTGGTAAAGTGGTATGATGAATTGATGAGTCAATTTTCCCAAGGACCAAGTCACTTGAATATTGTTTATGCTTATGCAATTGTCCTAAGCA